AAATGTGAGATGTTGAAGCCACCTGCCGTGGTTTGTCATTAAAAAAGATTTGTCTCCTTCAATTTTCCATGTTGATAAACTCTACCTCAAAAGATTCTCTTAGTATGTCTATGAGGAAGACAAGTCTAAGCAATCTTGGTCAACTAGAAAACATAAAGGTTCTAAATCATAATTTATAAGTAGAGTAGAAGTCATAAAATAATTCATATATGTGCACCCAGTAACTACGATAGAAAATGCAACTCCTACTGCTAAACAAATACCAGCCACAATAAGTGTAGAAAAAGAATAATGGGTTGTATTTATGACTACTTTACAACAAGTAAGGATAGAGAATGATACAAAGAGGACCATGAAGAAAAGAAACATGTAATGCTTAAATATAATTGGTTTCAGCAGTCAAGCATTTCATTAAATAACTACTGGTGTATATAGCAGAGAACTAAACATCTTAGAGCCAAGGTTGCCAAGTATGCATCAATTAAGATATATTCAACAATGGATGAAAAAGCTGAAAAAGGAAGCAACATGTTACATGCCATACAGGAGATGGACCCCAGAAGGCTAAGTACTTTATTGTAAACTTTTTTAGGAGACAGTTCTAATTGACCATCATTAGAAGGAAGTATTGAGAAAGGTTTTATAAACACAATATTTCTGAGTTTTAGTAGAAATTTTGTTACTTTTAAAACAAAGTTAATAACTAGAGACTAGAGTGAACAAAGGAGCAGCGAGAAATGATAAATTGAGCAACTGGATAAAAAATATGGATCAATGAATGCACAAATAAAATGTACTACTGTGTAAATAAATAATTTGAGTAAGCATTATAAAATCTTTAAGATAATTATAAAAAAAAAACAACAAAGAAAAAGAATGAATTCTCTTATATTAGACATTTTATTTTATTTTTAATATAGGTATTAGGTTGGTGGTGGACTCAAATTAAATAATAAAACTTTTTAAAGGAAAAAGATCGTAGACGATGGATGATCCAGGTCTTTTGTATCTATCAAAAAATTTTTAATATTTTAATTAAATATTTACGTTGTAAGATTTAATTATTTTAAAAATTGTTCAAAATGTTTAAATTTTTGTTTTTGAATAAATTTTGAATGAATTGTTTTAAGACATTATTCAAATCAAGAATACAGATATTAATATCTATAGTTGGATTAAAAAGCGAAAGTTTTAGACAATTTTGCTGAAAACAATTATTTAAATAAAAGACAGAATGAATACAAATATAAACCAAACTAAGGATATTAAATATAACAAATATTTTGCTTTTTCTTTAAAAAAAATAAAATAAATTTTTGTTTTTTTTAATTATAATTTTCGTTTTTATAATATTGTATTATGTAATATAAAACAATCAGCGAATAATGAATACAAAAATAATAAAACAATAAACAAAAAGAATGGAGAAAACAAGTATTTACTGTCTCACCTCGACACTCATTATATGGTCACTCTACGAATATGCCCTGAATAATTTTGGTGGGAACGTGAGCAATCTTAGAATTCAGAGCTTCCTTCTGAGAGCTTGTATTAGAGGCAGGTTTATGAGCAGTCATAGGCTTAGCACCCAACAATCCTTTCTGATTCTTGGCTATCACAGCATTGTTAGAAGATCCACCAACATTCTTAGCATTGCTTATGCTTGTAGGGGTATTGGCAGCTTCATACATTCAAGCTAATCGAAAATCTCTCTGAACAGAACTGGGATTAAACATTCTTACCAACACCTAGATATCTTGTTTCAACCCCTCTAAAAAGCAACTTAAAGTGTAATCCTCAGACAAAGATAAACAAGTGATAATAGAGTCAAATGAAGCTTTCTGCCGAAGCTTCATCAAATCTGCCATGGGGTCGTCACAAACATCCCCAAATCTTGTAGTTACCAATTTTGCATAATCAGCCCAACACAGAGACGAACAATTTCTAGTTTTAGACAAAGCCGTGTGCCATTGAAAAGCACGACCCTCTAAATGAATTATCGCTAATTGAACACGAATTAAGTCAGGAGTGTTATCGATCAAGAAAAAATTGCTACACTGATACAACCACTGATTCACGTTTTCGCCATTAAATCTTGGAAAGTCAATGCGAGCAAGACGTGTACCACACGAATACGAACCTGAATTGCGAACATCTTCACGATTTATCCCTATAGAACCTGGTGGACGCTGCTGTAAGAGATCCTCCATGGTTTTCTTCAAAGATTCGTCAAGTGTTCGCTGCATTATCCCTGCGGGCTCTGCCAAACGGTTATCCAAACGAGCTGAGACACGCTCTTTTATTTCCTTCATCACTTGAGCATTTCTTGTAGCTTCTACCATTGATGAAGACTCCGATATGGATCAAACAAGTTGATACCAATTGTTGTAAATTTTTCTAGAACTAGGAAGAGTAATCTTCGAAGAACAAGAATGGAGAAGGGAATCCAAGAATTGAAGGATTCCGATGAGTTATTGAAACTGAGAGAAAATGATTACAAGAGGAAAAAGATACAAACTAATGGAATTTGTCATCCAATCTATCTTAATAACTGCTATTTATAGCTACTTAACCACTCAAAAGCTAACAGCTTTCCCAAAAGAAGAAAGGTTTCAACCAACTTAGGTTACCAACTCAGCAATCAACCACTAATCATTTCTCAATTACAGAATCTATAACTACCTAGTGCTGATTCAGCACTTAAGTCTCAGCCACATATTCTTGAAAATACTCATATCATCTAAGATCAGGCTTTTGTTGAAGTTTAAAAGAGCGTTGCAACTGCTGCCATCATGGCACAAGCCTCAACGTTAATCAACCAAGAGGCCCTTTCTTGAGCTATGAAGAGACCAAAGAAAACTAATATCAAAATATGTCACAAAATCTGTGAAGAGACTAAAGAAAAATAATATCAATTTATGTCACAAAATAAAAAATGGCTGAGCCACCAAAGCATGGTCAACTGAAGAACAAATGACTCTAATCCATAATTACTTATATTCTGATTCTGCCATTCCATGAATCCAAAATATAATAAAATTTACATAATTTTGGATGTTATGATGAGAGACTTTTTGTAAAAAATATATCTCATCCAAGGATGCCAGCTCCACAACTACAGTAGTATTGAGCAGAGAGATTCTTGAAAATGGCTTGTCCATAACCACAAGCATTTTTTCACACCTACACAGACAGCTACAAACTTTATAAAATTATGATAGCACAATGAAACAAATTTTCAAATTTTCAGTTAGACTTTATTTTTATTTGAAGTCATACATCAATTACTTAAACTTGAAGCTATTACGAGAATTCAGAATTGTATTTGCAAATGTATCTTGATAGAAATTTTCATGGATGGTGAAACATGTTGCTGCTAATGTATGCTGAAACAGGGGAATGTGAGAGATATTATTGTCGAGAAATAGAAACAACAAATGTTTCAATTAAAACAAAGAGAAGTCTCGTTCGTGTACAGGAAGTCCATATGATGATAGAAAGGTAACCTGATTTGTCATGGGACTAATTCATATGCCATTGATATTGAAGTGGTAACGCATAAGCAAAGTTTATTTAGACTGTTGGATAAAGGAAGATTTTAACTTGTAGGCTCTACACTGACCATATATCTAATATAAACTCATTAAAGAAGTCATTTGAATATACAGAGGTAGAGATAGTACCCAATAAATCTTGAGTAAGAAATGCTCTTTTAACTTCTCAGATGCTTGATCATATGCCAGATTTCAAATAGAAGCAAGACTGCCTCTAGTAGAGCTCACAAAGAATCTGTGCAATTATAAAAAGTGAGTAGGGTGTCATATTGTATACTAATGTGAAACTAGTGATTCACAGTGAGTTATGATAGCAAAAACGATAAACAAAGGATAATAAAAAGAAATAAGATTTGGTGATTCACCATGACACTTAAGATAATATTACTTTGTCATGGATAATTTTGGTGAGAATGTGAGCAATCTTTGGACACTCTTTCCTTCGCTTTATCATAAAATAGGTAGTCGATCCGTAGTATCACAACAAGAGAGGAAGGGAGTACTTCTTTTGGTAAAGACTTGAGATTTTAAGAATTAAATATATGGTTTTATAGAAATGTGAGATGTTGAAGCCACCTGCCATGGTTTGTCATTAAAAAAGATTTTTCTCATTCAATTTATAAGTAGAGTAGAAGTCATAAAATAATTCATAAATGTGCACCCAGTAACTACCATAGAAAATGCAACTCCTACTGCTAAACAAATACCAGCCACAATATGTGTAGAAAAAGAATAATGGGTTGTACTTATGACTACTTTACAACAAGTAAGGATAGAGAATGATACAGAGAGGACCATGAAGAAAATAAACATGTAATGCTTAAATATAATTAGCTTCAGCAGTCAAGCATTTCATTACATAACTACTGGTGTATATAGCAGAGAACTAAACATCTTTAGAAGGCTAAGCCCTTTATTGTAAACTTTTTGAGGAGATCATTCTAATTGACCATCATTAGAAGTATTAAGAAAGGTTTTATAAACACAATATTTCAGTTTTAGTAAAAATTTTGTTACTTTTAAAACAAATTTAATTACTAGAGACTAGAGTGAACAAAGGAGCACCGGGAAATGATAAATTGGGCAAGTAGATAAAAATATGGGTCAATGAATGCACAAATAAAATATACTACCGTGTAAATAAATAATTTGAGTAAGCATTATAAAATCTCTAAGATAATTAAAAAAAATAACAAAAAAAAAAAGAAAATGGATTCTCTTATATTAGACATTTTTTTTATATTTTATTTCTAATAAATGAAGTGATTATAAAGAAATTATATATATATATTATCTGCATGTTTCTGAAAAAATGAGTAATATCATGTTGCATGAATGTGACACAAAAAAAATCAGTGCATAATGAATACAAAAATAATAAAACAATAAGCAAAAAGAATGGAGAAAACAAGTATTTACTGTCTCACCTCGACACTCATTATATGGTCACTCTACGAATATGCCCTGAATAATTTTGGTGGGAACGTGAGCAATCTTTGGCCACTCTTTCTTTCGCTTTATCTTAGAACAGAGCCAGATCTCTAGCACCTTAAGAGAGGAAGGCAGTCTCTCTGGCAACGACCTGAGTATATAACAATCCTGTAGACGAAGGTTTTGGAGAGAGGTGAGGTGCTGAAGCCACCTGCCGTCCAAGAATTTTGTATTGTCAAGCTCATAGATGGTCAAGGACGTGAGAGAAGTGGGCAAGAATGGCACTTCCATTTCCATCAGCATCTTCACCATATCGTCACCTCTTATTCGCAACACGGATAGACAAGTGAGGCATTCCAATCTCCACTGACTAATACTTTTAGCTGATGAAATTCCTCCAATAAAGCCCACGTCTAGTTCCCGTAGATTAGTAGGCAAACCTTCCGTGGCGAAAGATTGCAGATTTTGAAGTCCAAATACAGCCAACTTTTGAAGCCCAGTGAGAGTGTTGATGGATTTTGGTAATGACACGAGCTTGTAACACCTACTCACATTAAAATGAATGAGGTTAGGAGTGGGCAACCCAGCGGGAGAAATTGACTCCAACTCATCACAGCTCCGTATCTCGATACTTCGAATAAGTGAGAGACTCGACGATGCATCTTCTACAGTTGAAATGGATTTAAGATTTCTACAACCATAGATGGAAAGACTTTTAAGAACGGGTAGAGAGCCCAATGTAAAGGAATCCATTGAATCACAGCTGTATTTAATTGTCAAATTCTCAAGTGATTTGTAATTGTGCAAGGATTCACGAGGAAGAAATTCCAGATTCCCACACAAAGACAGAAAGAGAGACTGTAAGGTTTTAGGTAAACCATCTCTTGGGAATGATTTCAGAGAAGAGAAGCCTCTGATAGATAACTCACAAACAGAACTGAAGGGCAACATCAACTGGCTTTGTGGAAAATCTGTGGATAAAGGAAATTCATCTAACTCAAGTTTAGTTAAGGAAGGAAAGTTGCTGCCAGGTATGTTTCGGTTGAGTTTCGGACACATTTCAAGTGTTAGATGTTTTAGGCTTGGAAATTTTGTAACAGTACCTTCACTCAAATTCCATTCCTCCCATTCTGGCATATCTCTAAAACTTAGAATCTCCAAAGATTGAAACGGCTGGAATGAAAGAGAACTACTTCCCCTGAATTCACCACCGATTGTCTTTAATGATCTCATATCAACAATCAATAGTTCTTTCAGCTTAGGTAACTGTCCCAGGGGTGGCAACAAAGAACAACGAGTACAACGCCAGATGACCAAATACACCATGTTGCCAAATGAAGAATCACCCACCCAATTCGGGAACTTGGTTTCACCATAGTTTCTGATGGAGAGCTTTTTCAAATTTGTTGAAGCCTCCAACCTTTCGAGTACCAGCCCAGCGTTATCAGCATCGTCATTCCATTTTAGCACCAACTCGTCAATTTGTTTTTTCATCTTCAAATTTGCTAGAGAAGCATCGGTATGGTTCTTAACATTCTGTAGTCCTGAGATGGAAAGGTTCGCTTGCAGATGGGGAAATTTACTCAGCTCTACAATCTTCAACCCATCACGATGTTCACCGACGATAAAGTCGGACAAAGTTTGGAGACTTTGAAGCGTGGCTATTTGTGCGGGCATCTCTCGCAATTCAGTGCCACTGATGTCAAGGTGGCGTAGATTCACCAATTTTCCCATATCTTTGGGTAACTCAGTGAGATACTTACAATTGGACAACAACAAGGTCTGCAAATTGTAAAGCTTGCATGTCTTAGAAGGCAGCCTCTCAATCCAAGTGTTAGAGAGATTTAAGTACCGCAAGTGTATCAAATGCCCAATAGAGTCAGGCAACTCCACATTCCTGTAGTTTGACAAAGACAACACCCGCAACTGTTTCATTGCGAGCAACAAGTCATCTATCGTCTTTTTTGAAAAGTAACACAAACGCAATTCATTTAGAGGTAGGAAGGTACGGAGACCTTTTGATCCCCTCAAAGCATAAAATTTACTATAACTGTCAAATATCCCTCTATTGTACGACAAATGACGTACAGTTCCATGTGGCTTCTGTTCGTCCAACCTGACACAATAAGCAGATGAAACCATTGTAGCTAAATCGTTGATGAGGTCATGCATTTCAAAGTACGGTTCACCATCAACAGACCTCTGAAGTATCAATGACCTTGACACTAGATCATCAAAGTATGCATCACCTGTTTCTTCCATACTTTCCTGTCTTTTGGGGTGTACAAAGCCTTCTGCAATCCACAGCTGAACTACCATCCTCTTTTCTAACTTGGAATTCTTTGGAAAAATTGAACAATATGCAAAACATCGTTTTAACACCGAAGGAAGATAATGATAGCTCAACAAAAGAGCTGGTTGCACCTGAACATTTGGCAAGTCCCAAATGTTACTTTCTAAAACCTTTTTCCACTCACGTTGCGATGGATTGTTGCGAAGAAGGCCCCCAAGTGCTACTGCAGCTAATGGTAAGCCACCACATTTTTTAGCAATTTCTATGCCAATTCCTTCTAGGTTAGACCGTTCATCACAGTTACATGGTCCAAATGCAAGTTTGGAAAATAAAGACCAACAATCTTGATTTCCTAGAACTTCCAAATGGTGGATAGGAAGAAAGGTTTGAGCGGCAAGAGCCACAGTTTCATGTCGTGTCGTGATAATGATCCTACTTCCCATTTTCCCAGCCTTAAAAATGTCCATTAGATTGTACCAATCAACACTATACTTTCCTTCCCATATGTCATCCAACACAAGCAAAAAAATTTTATGGCTTAAACTTTGCTGCAATTGCACTTGTAAGGTGTTCAGGTTACTGGTGTCAGTTATTTTTGGAGTGACAGAATCAAGGTGTCTAGGATTTTGGTTAGTAGTATCAATTTTTTTTGAAGGGACAGAATCAAGATGTCGAGGATTTAGGCTATTGGTATCAATAGTTTTTGAAGTGATGGATTCTAGGATGGTTTGAGTGACCTTGAAAACATCAAAATCCTTTGAGATATGTGCCCATGCTTTCAAATCAAATTTCTCCTTTACATCTGGATCATTGTAAAGGAGTTTAGCAAGGGTTGTTTTACCAATCCCTCCCATACCAACTATGGAAATCACTCCTATCTTATTACCATTATCAATGTCATTCTTATCTGACAGCAAATAATCTTTAAGTTTCTTTCTGTCCTCATCTCTGCCATAAATAGCAGATTCGTCAATTACCACACTACTCGAAGGAGTTCCATGCCAAACAGTGCTGGAAACACCTACTCTCAATCCAAGAGAGTGTATTTGTCGTTCAAAGTTTTGTAATTTTTCAAATAATGTTTGCATTTTAGAGTTGGTCACCCCATGAGACCGCTTAAAAGGAGAAGAAAGGATGTTTTGCACCTTACCACAGACAGTTTTACTTCGATACTCAGCTTCCACTTTGGATCGCAAAGCCTCAGTGTTGATTTCGTCCAACAAATCTTCAACATCAAAGACAGCATGTCTCAGCATATCCAGCCATTGCTTGACATCAGCATCTGAGAACTGTTTCTCCTCAGCATCATTGAGAACAGCTCGAAGACTCAGCAGTGTTGTTTGCATCTTGTGAAGGAGTGACTCATCAAGCTTCTTGATAAGGAAGAAGTTCACGAACTCACCAGAAACAATCTTCTCTAACAACAGCTCCACAGAAGCCGAGACGAAAGCTTCTCCCACCACCGCCAAAGCCATTAGTTCTTTGCTTGAAAGGACGGAGAAAGAAGAATAGGTGAACAAGAAAAGCGTTGTAGAAGTGAAGTTTGCTTCCCCAAGTCTCTAATGTATTTATACTGTGATGTTTTTTTCCATGGATATAGCTGATAGTAACCATGAAATCACGCAACATGCAAAAATAGACAAAAAACAATAAGATGAAACAGACTACCTCCTGAATTATATGTATTTTACATACAGTACTAGTTAGCATCTTTTTATTAATAAATTATTAAATTTTTCCATATGTATTATTATTTAAGTTGACATTGATTTAAAAAATATATATATAATTTGGTTCATTTGTAAAATATTTTAAATTTAATTATCGGCATAAATATTATTATCATACCAAAAGTAATTTAAGGTAAATAAGTATCATGTATAAAATTGAAATTTACATTTTTTTATTCTTACATATAATAATTATTCTTAATTTATTTTACATACGTTATATATGACTATAATAAACAACAAAAAATAACATGTTACTTGGTAAAATTGAATTGAAATTTTATATGATTTAAAATAATAAAAAATAAATACTTATCAATCATACAAAATGTTTAAGATAATTTGATTACAAATTAATCATTCACAAAAATAAAGTCATCGTGAATTCTTGATATATTCTTTTTGTTAGGCACAAAATCATTCATAAGCAAAATAGACAGAATAAAGCAAACGAAAGGACACGAAAGGAAGCGTTGTTAAATAAAATGTGTAAAGCAAAAATATTCCTTCTTGTTGCATAAGCAAGTTAAATGCCACTCTTTAATTCACTCTTCTTTTCTGTCTCGACAAGTTAGATTCATCGTGTTCACAAAATTATTGCGACCTCATTTGTAAATATTTTAAGTATAGATACTATCTTTCCCAAGGAGGCTTCCCATTTATAGTTGCAATGATTTAGAAAACATAATTTTCCTTTTCCCATTCTAACAACAACTTGGTGTATTTTACAAACAAAGAACATCAGGATGATGTATTTACAAACGATAGACTTGTATGTATTTGCATCACCTGCATAACAAATTGAAAATTGAAGACTAATATATTTAAAAACTTGACAAATAACCCATTCATGAGTTTGAAATGTATTTGGAAAAATAAAACTAAGTTATAAAGTGATGTGTTTGAACAAAGTTTTTCATATGGCTAAAAACGTCTTCTACCCATTTTACTCAAAAACACGAGAAGAAAGTTCGATACTTTCTCTCAAAAAATACATGTTTTTCATTCTTGTATTGTTGAAATACACGTTTCGTTTTATGCGATCAAAAAAATATTAATTTTTGACTAATTTTCATGACACAGGGGAGAGTAAAAAAATACTTGTTCTTAGTTGAAAATGAGATAATTGCTCGATAAATTCTCATAAGACTCAAAATTGCTTAAATTAGTTGAAAAAAATATGTTTGTTTTTTCTTTCAAAAATTTGTCAAAAGCTAGTGTTCTGAGGCGTTTTCCAGAGCATTTGTTGATGACTATGGTGAAAAACTGGTAGAAAATTAATTCATCAAAAGAGTTAAAGTATTTTAGGGAAAAAAAGTATAAATTTAAGTAACAAAGGCAACTCAGAAAATGATGGATTCTAGTCGAAATTTCAAATACTTGGAAGCAGTTACAAATAGTTGAAGGTCAAGATGCATAGCAAAGATCATGAGTGTTACATAATAGCAGTTACAAGAATGTGTTTTAGGTAGTTATATTTTAGATTAATGTGTTTTAGGCAATTACTAGGTATTATATCTATAAATAACTTTTTATTTTACTATTTAAAGGTTACAATTTTCACACTCAAATACTCACACCCAACATCTCAATATTGTCAAAGTTCTATAACGTGCTAGACCTACCAAGGAGAGAGATTAGTAATTTCTATGTTGTGTTAGAATTTTCTTATTCCATTATGTAATTTCTATTCAATAAAGCTATTATGAAATTACTATTTCTCTTAGGATCTTGAATTACGTTGTTCTCCCTATACAATACATGATGCTCACACAATTAAGGGTTTAGAGAGTACTAATCTGAATCTATTATTCTTTGATGTTACCCCGCTCTTGATGTCATTGATCTCTTTGTATTTTCCCAAACTCTTCCTTCCTCCTTTAGCTCCTCTCGAATGGTTGAGAAAAAGTTTCTTTCTTGCGATTACTGTGAGTACACTCAGAGACTGTGAAAGTGATATAGAATAGAGAATGTTATAACCTCTATTTGGTAACCGCTCTTTTATTCATTTGAAGGGAGAAGGAAGGGTTTCCTTATAAATGTATTTACAATTATACCCTCAATGACTCTATATTTTATATTTAATCATCATCATTAAATCATTAATTAGAGTCATGTCATAAGTTACATAGGCCACTATAATAAGATTATTAAAATAATCTAACAATCTCCCACTTGGCCTATATGACGACTTGAAGATTCAATGAACTGTAAGTGCGCGTATCATTAATAATATCAAGTCACCATCTTTCAATGATTTGAATTGATCAGATCATGGCAGTCAGAAGTCATTTAACGACATGATTCCTTTCAAGTATCACAGAACCAACTCAAATCAAGATAGCTTTAATCAGTCATACTACAGACTGCAACTCTGATGTGTTTTTAACACTCAACCTATTATCAAACTTAAACCATACATGTACATTAACACAATTCAAATAACAAGTAAACAAGTAGAAACAATACTTTTATTGAATTCTCAAAATGTCTACAATAATATGAGCAAAACAATCTATATACACATATATGTGAATCACACAATCATACTAATAAAGACTTGTCTATAATGTCCATTCTACCAACATGGCTAGAAAACATTTTAGGGGGCAATCCCTTAGTTAGCATATCCGCTATCATCAAATCAGTACCAATATGCTTAATAGACACTTTCTGTTTCCACACTTCTTCTTTCACTGATAAGTATTTTAAGTCCATATGCTTTACTCCCTTTGAATACTTATCATTCTTAGAGAAGAAGACGGCTGCAGAATTATCACAGTACATTCTTAGCAGATTTTCTATACTACCAACAATACCAAGCCCTAAAATAAAGTTCCGCAGCCACAAAGCATGAATAGTGGCCTCAAAGCACACCACAAATTTCGCTTCCATGGTAGACGTAGCAATAATGGACTTCTTTATGCTTTTCCATGAAATCGCACCTCCAGCCAACAAGACGATGTAGCCAAAGGTCGATTTCCTTGAGTCTACATATCCAGCATAGTCTGAATCCGAGTAGCCAACCACTTCCAGGTGACTAGATCTCCTATAAGTAAGCATGTAGTCCTTGGTGCCTTGTAAATACCTAAAGACTTTCTTTGCAGGCTTCCAGTGCTCCATTCTGTGATTATTTTGATATCAGCCTAACATTCCAATAGTAAAATTGATATAAGGTCGAGTGCATGTCTGAGCATACATTAAACTCCCAACCACTGATGCATAGGGAATATATTCCATTGCTTTCCGTTCCAACTCATTCTTAGGACATTGCATTTCACTAAACTTATCTCCCTTTTGAATTGGAACTACACCTGATGAGCACTTTTTCATTTTTGAATCACTCTAATACTTTGTTGATGTAGCCTTTCTGAGACAATCCCAACAATTCTTGTGATCTATTACGAAATATTTCTATTCCAATCACATAAGAAGCCTCACCCATATCTTTCATCTCAAAGTTCTTAGAGAGAAACTCCTTTACATCATACAATAACCCAACATCATTAGTAGCAAGAAGAATGTCATCAACATATAGGACTAAAATGATGAACTCGCTCCCACTGACCTTCATATAGATACATTGGTCAACGGTGTTCTCTACAAAACCATATGACGTGATGGTATTATTAAACTTAAGATACCATTGTCTGGAAGCCTGTTTCAACTCATATATTGATTTCTTTAACTTACACACTGGACTTTCTTTACCTGTGGTCAAGAAGTCATCTGGCTGCTCCATATAAACTTCCTTTTCCAAGTCACCATTCAAAAAGGCGGTCTTTACATCCATTTAGTGAAGCTCTAAGTCATAATGAGCCACCAAAGCCATAACAATTCTCAAAGAGTCCTTCTTTGAAATGGGAGAGAAGGTCTCTTTATAGTCTATGCCATCCTTTTGAGTGTATCCTTTAGCAACAAGTCTAGCCTTGTATCTCTCAACATTGCCTTTTGAGTCACGTTTAGTCTTAAAGACCCACTTGCAACCAACTCCTTTTGAACCTTCAGGCAACTCGACTAGATCCCATACCTTATTGTCACTCATTGATTTTAACTCTTCTTTCATGGCATTCAACCACTTTTTAGAATTGTTACATTCCATGACTTGCTTAAATAAGACTGAATCATCATCAATACTCAAGTCACATTCATGCTCAAGTGAGTATACCACATAATCATTTGAAATAGTAGGTCTTTTCTACCTTACAGACCTCCTTAATGCTATCTCTTGTAGTTCACCTTCCTCTTGCTCATTTGTGACTTGTGCATCGTCAGCTGGTTCATCCTCTATATGTTGTTCTTGTGGGTTTGGAACATTAACTTGTTGTCTCCTTATGTTGTGTGACTGTGATACAATGAGAGAAACAATAACTTGAGAAGAGACACCGACTACAGGAGTTTCTGCATGTGTCTCTTTAATTTCTACCTTTCGTGTTTTACCACTCCCACTAAACTGACCATTTTCAATGAACCTTGCATTTTTAGACTCAACTATTCTCATACTATGGTTAGGACAGTAAAATCTATACCCCTTTGATTTTTCAGGATAGCCGACAAAATAGCCACTAATTGTTCTAGCATCAAGCTTCTTTTCATGTGGATTATACACTCTTACTTCTGCTGGACAATCCCAGACATGAAGATGTCTTAAACTGAGTTTCTTTCTTATCCACAATTGATAAGTGTATAAAATAAGTGATTTGAGATGGTAACTTAAACACTTTTTTGTGTGTTAAAAGTTGGATTATT